CTCTTCTGTGCGCTTGTAAAGGGGTGTAGCTAGATACCATTTCGCTCTCAGTCTTTTACTAATTTGACATAAGCTATGCAAGAAATTGTAGTGCTTAAAATTTTAATATATTATTGTTGGCGTGAAAGCTCTAAAACTTTCACTTATACATAAAACACTTTATATTAGTGCCCCGTAGTTTTATAAACATTCATATTTCGCTCTCATTCGCTCTCAGTTTTGACTATCAACTTGTGCATGTATTAGTTCATATGAAAGCGAGAGCTTTCTTCCGCTCCCATTTATCAAAAGTTATTTACCCTGCAACGAAGTTGTAAATCAAAACAAATGAAAACTGCATTCAGTTGTTTTTGCAAATTTATCTTATGTACGCGTGAGAGAAACACGTGTCAGAAATAAAGCAGCGTATATAACAGCGTTATAACAGCAGCTTAACAGCTGATTGCCTTTCATAAAGACTGATTTGTGGGTAAACGTTTGTATATATGCGTGTGTGTGTTTCTGCTGTGTTATTTTCCACACTTAACTATGTAAATAAGGTGAATGAAAAGCCAACGAGCGTGATTTAATAAGATACCATTTTCAGAGTGAAGAAAAATTGAAGGGTCTACATTTTAAGCAATATTTTGTTGATATAAAGTTAGGGCCAGGTATCACTCTAAAATTTTAAAAATTCTAAGCTTAGACTTGCAACAAGAAGGTTCAATGTATGACTTTTTATGTATCGGACAGTGTTATGCTTTTTTGAGTATTTGCGATTTATTTAGCAAATGATTGCTGATAAGAGTTTAAAGATTTAAAGTTTCCTGTTATTCAGCCCAGCGCCATAAAATTAGAGGTGAAAGTGTATGAAGGTAAAGAGATACGTGTCGAAGTAGAGCGTTTTAGTATTATTTCATACAACAAATACATCAATACCACATAAATAGTGAGAGTTTATAGATGGACACTAATAGAGATACATCTAATACAAATATAAAACTCTGTTCTTGCCGTTTCGTATTTTTAAAGAATAGTAACCAAGTAAGCTGACTGTGGCTACATCTCCCAATTTCGTCAGTTTTAACTAAGACCTGTCCAAATCTAAATACATTCTTAGGATGAAAATAAAGTAATCAGAATTTGTCGGATAAAATCAAGACGCCCAACATAAAAAATGAGCCATCATCTAAATAAGAATATAATCATGAGTATATGCAAATAATGATTTGTATGAAACATTTTCTGCATGGATTAACTAATCCTTAGGCTATGCTGTCAAACTATAAACCATTGATGGTGCAAGCCGGCAATACTTTTATATTAAAAATGATAGTGGAGTCTTTTATTTGCAGTTATAGCAGATTCTGCGCCTGAAGCAAGAATGTCTGTTGCCTCTTCTTGAAATATTAAGGCTTTCTTGCTATCTTCTTGAAAAGAAATTGCTGAAATAAGGTAACTAATTTTTACTCTTGCCACGGTGATCAATCATAACCTATTACTATAGAAAAAAGTAAATAAGCTTAAGCTAATGCTTAATTTCACGCCGATAAGCTTAGAATCTTATGTTAGATTACCAAAACTCCCACAGGCGGTGCTGTTAAGTTGCGAAGAAGTGCATTTGCACTTGAAAAGGCGCGTGCACTGTTCAGCGTGTTGGCCTTGTACGGAACGGAGCAACACACACACATACAGCCTTATATATATATGTATTTATGTACCCACTGATTGAGATTGACCTAAGAATCAACTGGACACATAATTTATAAAAAAAAATTAACACATAGCAGTAGCAAACGTGGATAGCAGGAAGAGAGTGCGGAGAGTATATACGTATGTAAATATATTTGTTTATTGACCTGAGTATATTTCCAAAGCTCCTTTGTATATGAGTGTGTATAATATTAAGTTGCACAGCTGATGTGCGTGTGAACACACCCCTTTAAATGAGGCATTGGCTTTGGTTTTGAGTTCAAGTGTTGTCACAACAGACACTTGACAAGAGAACGCTGTATTGGCCTTATATACCAACATATGTGGGTGAGTGTGTTCGGCGGAGGGTGATGATAGTGGTAATGTGATGTGTGGGAAGTGGCGCCGTCTTGTTGAAATGTCGCCGATCTCACGAGCTTAGTAAAATGCGCTAAGTCGTTCCAAACATCAGTTCGAGTTGGTGCGAACGGCGCCGAATCGACCCTCCACGGTCTTCGTGTACACTCTCAGCTACGGCCGCTATATTTTCTATACTGCTGGACGTGGTATATTGGGTCGAATATGGATGGATGGTGTTGCGAATAGTACACTCAATAAGCCGAGTATGTTGACCATAAGTTAAGCGAAGCGCGCGAAACCCATTCTTTACAGAACGTGAATTTTCATTATAAATTTGAACAATTTGTAAAGGTTGTTCAAACGTAAGTTTTTCCATGATGAAATTCCAAACAATACTGAACAAAAATTACATGACAGCTTGACATGACTCCGGCGTCAAAAAAGGCTATTGATGAAAAATTAGCTCTAGTTAGATCCCCCGTTATAATCCCAACAGTCAAGTTCTCTTCAGTTTCCTATGTCTTAACAAAAATATGGAATGCGTTAGGCCATAAAAGTACTCCAATTCAGCGTAGAGATATGTTTGCGCGAACAATGTGTTGTCGAGACTTTGAAACTAAATTTAAAAAAACATTAAAGATCAATTTCTGAAAACTTTTGAGACACCATGAAAGGGAGTGTAAATTTCGACAGAATGTAAAATCTCTAATCAAGTAATTCAATTAATTTCAAGTTCATCGAAAATTACTGACCAAAGGTGTTGGTCAACGAAAGGACTTTTAACGGCTTCAACGGACTTATGGTGTATTGCCCAAAGCAGGTTTGTCAGTTTCGTAAACTCACAGGGACCCAAGTCTGACAAATTAGTTGCTGAAAGATCGTTTCGTGTTTGGCCAAGAAGACCGTCAGTCACAATCGGGGTGGAATGTGACGACGCATTATCGTGTAGAAAAATCCATTAATTATCTGCTCACATCATAAAAAATTCATCAACTTGATTTCTGATCGACTTTGACAAGGTTTTTTGGGTTTCGGCTATTTTTGGTTGAACAGTTTCGACGTCATATTCATACACCCACGTCTGGTTACCAGTAATAATGCGTTTGATGCATCTCTTCTCCGACCTCTACTCGATGTCGTTTTTGCAGAAGATTGCAGGCTTTTGATAAGAGTCTAGCATTGACACGCTTTATACCCAAAACATTAACCAAAATGTTTTTAGTTGATTCATAAAAGATGCTGAGATCCTCTGCTATCTCTCTAATGCCAACACGACGAGTTTTAAGCACTGTTTCTTTTAGTTTTTCGTTGTTATCATCAGAGGTGAATGGACGTCACGCATGAGGCAAGTCTTCGATGACTTCACCATCTTTACTGAATGCGTCCATGAAACTCATGGATTTTTACCACGATAAAGCGACGACACAATGACTGACTTTTTGGATAAACACGAAACCGGACTCATCATTCAGCCACCGTCCATGGACATTTTGTTTTGTTTTCGGAAATGACAAATCCGATTCTGATCCGATATGAAAGATTGGATTAATAGTTGGCATGCTTGTATTGAAGGTGGTTATAAATATTTCTATTTAAATAAGTCTGGTAGAAAATTGATCAGATTGATTCAAATAATTTTAATGAGTTTTATTGTATATACCATACTTTTGAACGTGATAAAAAACAATTGTGTAAAAATACCTGAAAATTTTGGTTTCTTTGTCAAATCAGATCAGATGGTATATAAGTTAACATATAAGAGGATTTTAGACTGTTTTGGCAATCTCATCGCATATATGGTTCAATATCTTCAAGTTGCATAAATATGTGGTATATTCGACTTAGATCTATATTCATCAAATAAAATTAATAGTAGGTACTGAAGGCACATTTCGTTGGAATTTGTATATCCTTTCCGACTGCCAATATACATTATGCTCTTTCCAGAATTGTCCCTTCTGATTAGTAGGGAAAATAGTATTTTGTAGCGAATAATAAGTCAAGATTATATATTTAAATTGTATTTGTTTTTTTTGGAAATATTATAAAGTTTATTTCAAATCAGTTTCCTCGGTAAAATTTATGGAAATATATGAACACTTCACCCTACGCTCAGCACTGTTAAGTACTCTCAAGCTGCACTCTCTTTGTCTCCCATGGTTTTGTACTTCGTAAATACCGAAAGCTTACAAGCAATGTTTCTACTGACACAAATACGAAGGCAAATAGACAAGCATCGCAGAAGTGTGGTCGCCGCTGCTCTCTTCGTAAAACACAATTACATTGCATACTTTACGACTGCTCTAACGGTACATAGCCGCTCGGCTGCACCGTCGTTAACAGCGGGAGGGCCTGCAACCAACACTTGGGCTTCCTTGTGTTGAAGCTAACGGCTGAAAAGGGCAATATGACGTCAGCGATGGAGTGACGAGTGATTTGCCACTCTGCTAGCGGTTTGTATGCACGCATGTTGCATGAAGTTCGCTGGAACTTCAGCAGCAGCAACAACTCTACAGCATTACGCTTTGTCGCATGTTGCACGCTGTAAGTGGCAGCTTAGTTGCAGGCGTATTTTGGCCACTCGTTGGAGGCATGCACACGATTGTGCGATTTGCTGGCAGCAACACCAAAGCCAAGTGCAAGTAAACAGTTGCAACATGCATTGTGAGCAAGGCTTCAACCATGTGTAAGGTGTTGTTTACAAATACAACAATGCAAACGTATTAGATAGGAGTGAGACGCAATGCTAGCGCTACCACTACATGGCAACGAGGCAAGTAAGTGCCACAAATAGCCACGCGCAGCGAACGGTAAATGGCAAGTGACAAAGCTGGTTATTTACAATATGATGCAGCATTGTATTTATATAAAGTCATACCTACGTGTGTTTGTATGCATGTAAATGCGTGTGTGTGTGTGTTTTGCGCGCGTGGCATGGTAAATTGCAACTCGCTGCACACGCAGCTCACAGTTGCATCAAATCGCTTCCACAATTCAGTTGAACGTGAACGCTCCGCCAGTACAGATGCAACCGCAGCAGCGCTAAGGCAATTTGCAATAACGACAACTGCACAGTTGCAAATAATAATCACTTATAGTGTTACAGTGCAATGTTTTATAAGCCGAGTAATCGCATAACTTTTGTAAAATAAGTACGAAATGAAAATTCAATGCGAAATTCGTTAATGGAAACTCACAAAGAAATGTTGAAGTGCCAAAATAATTGACGTATCGCAGTGTGTGCTAGTATGTAGTCACTTTTAGACCAACAAAAAACATTACTAACAGCATAATAATGTTTGTAGTATTTGCATTTAACAGTGTTGATAAGAAGTGTGCTTAGTTTCCCCTCAGCTGAGGCAGTAAACTGTTATGTTAGGGCACTTAGGTTAGTTATGTTATTGCCAAGGGACATCGAAGAAATGGGAAAAGGTAAAAGGCCGCTAACGGCACTCGTGTATAAGCTATGTGCAATCTGCCGGTCGCTCGGCAAACACGCTCGTTTGCTGTGTTGGTAGGCGGACAGTTAGCAGTGGCGGTTAGCTCTTAGAGCTCTTCCTCGCTTTTTAATTTGTATCGTTATCTTTGCATTGACTCCTTTATTTTGCATTTTATTTTCCTACTTTCTTCGATTTGCTGTTGCTAGGGCACGCCACGCGGCCCTAGCGAAGCATTTGGTGCTAGCAGGAATGTACTGGTTGTATTGTTGGGCCACCAGTGCGTATGAGTAATTTGTTTGCAAACTGTTGCTAGTCAGACTCGTGCTGGCGAAATCTATTAATAACGATTTTGCGAATAATAGAAAATAATTTTATTGGTATAAACTGATTAAGAAATATAAAAACGTTTCATTGATTGGTTTCATATACTAGTTTATTTGGTAACTAAAACAAAATAGAGGATTTAAAAAAAGTTATTATTGTACGAAGTCGCACTAAATGCTTCGTTTCTTATTGCTTTCAATAAAAGCTTGTTTAAATAAAGAATTAAAATAATATAAATTTTTTAAATATAATTTGCTTTTTCAATATGTTAATTTAATTACTATTAGAAAAAATTAAAATTGATTCTTTAAAAAACTCGAACAATAAAAATGATTAAATTTGCAACTTTTTTTGTAAATATTAAACAAATGCGTTAATCTTTATTTTTAGTGAAAAAAGATAAATTCAGTTTTAAGTAAAATCGAAGTTAATAGAAATCATAATAAAATAGGTGGTTGCTAAGAATTAAATAATATACGGAATAGCCAACAGAAATTATTTAATTAGTAAGTATTAAAAAAAATCAACCAAATCAAACTTTTAAATTATGTGTGATATGATATATTATATATAAATTAAATTTAAAACAAACTCTCTGCTATAGAAAATACGAATTTTAAATATGAATGTTATATTATTATTTTTAACAATCTTATCCAAAGAAAGAATTGGTACAATAAAAACTGTTTAATTATGAACATGGTTTAAATCTTAAAAACTCAAGTTTGCGCAGTCATAATCGATTTAGATTTTTTTGATCTTCAAAAATATGCATACTTGAGAATTTATTTCAAGTGGAAAAAAAGATTTTACTATTTAAGTAAAATTAAAATTGTGTAATGTATGCGGGCAATTAAAAATTTAATATAAAATAAGGATTGGTAAAATACAATTATTTAGGTAATATTTAATAATTTATAAAATCTATATATATTATCAATTAAAATTATTGTTTAGTATAAATATAAATTATTGTTTAATAAAAATCAATATAAATTGATAATAATCATGATTCATTTACTTTATTATTTTATTAAATATTTTATTAATGTTTTATTGCAGCATAATATCCACATATGATTTTTCTATAATATGATTTAGAAGCAATAATAATTTTCGTTTACTTATAAAATTAAATTAATATTTATTTCGTCTTTAGTAAATGTATCAATATGTAGCAATGTATACTTTACTTGAGATGTAGAATTCATAAACTATTTAAGCCTGGTTAAAGAAACAAATTTTGGTATTGAATATTTTAGAGTAAGAAAGTGAAAGAAAGAATACAAAAAAAGCTTGAACATTGTTCCAAACTTCTCTAAAATAAACACGACTTTTATGACCTGCATATCCGCGTTACATACAAAGATATAAATTCTCTATTAGATTTAGCAAAAAGTTTAGTTTTTAAAAAAGCTTTACAATTACTAAATTTCAATTAAGAATTTCAATATTTTTTGTAAACTCAATTTTCTTACGTTTTTTAATTTTTATTTTTATTCCCCTCAGTATACTACGCCCTGAAAACAATAATAAGTAAATAGAAAGCAATAATAGATTGATAGCATCAGTAGGCCTATTTATCAACAAATTGATTTCTTACAGTTATTCCAAACTAGTTAATGAAGTTACAATAAAAATTTACGCGGTTTATCGCTGTTAATACCCGAAATTAAAAAAAAACAAAAAAATAAAACAACAAAACAACAAAACAGTACTAAAGAAAATATAGTTTCGATACAGTTCGAGTTGTGGATCGACTACAATCAACTTAACGGTAAGTCTAAAATATAAACAATTAATATTTATAAGATATAAAATCATTTGAAAATATGCAATGTCTCAAATACTCAATTTACTAAGTAATCACCAAAAACAAGTATAATCCTTTTTAACTTATTGTCTTTGTTTATTGTTAATGGCGAAGCTTTTCATATTATACTTTTAAGAACCCTGAAAATCCAAAAGTTCTTAGTCAACATCGAATTGCATTTGAAGCTAAAAAGATGTTTTAGAGAATATTTTTGCCATGCTGCAAGATCTCTAGGGTGCTGGCTGGTTTAACATTTCGAAACACTTTTCAGAGTACAGAATTCATTTAGTTTGAATGTGCATCTATAGTAAAAAAGATAAGAAGTTACAATCAGAATATCTTAAAATTTTTTCCGGTCCTTTGACCTTTTTGTCTTTAAGCTGATTCGAAAAGTTTATGAATGGCAATTATATTAAAATTCATTTAAGATTATAAGCAATTTGTTTTTTTTAGAATTTCTATTTATGAACTAGTATGTCGCGAGGAAAAAATAACATAGGTTGTCGAACAATTCATATTATAATAAACCGTGCTGTAGAGGTCAAAGTTTCAATGTGTTTTTGACGTGATACCCTTGTAGCATCATATGGATTTCGAGCGCCAATTTCAAATCGTAGTTTTCTTTCCTGGCAGATTGATATTAAACCAAATACCATACGAAGTAGAGGTAGAATATTAATTGATCAAAGTTAATTAAAAAATTTTGAGAGAGGTCCCTAAACTGAAATATTCCTTTCACCAGGTTGAAAAGAAGGAATTAGTTAAAAGTTATTAGTTTATCATTCAGAGATATATTTTAATCAGGCTGTCAACATTTTTTCCATAGTGCCATTGATTGCGCTGCTAACCACAAATCTGTTTCGTTATTGATTTACTAAATTGCATTGTTGGATAAAATAAAAACTATAGACTTTTGGTATGTAAATTGTGAAAAAACGAGCTTTGTTATTACCAGAATTTGTGTATACGTTTTCGTAAATGCAATGTGAAGCTAACTCGGTTCGTTTGAAACGTGCCAATTTTCAGCAGTTTGTTTGAAAGATAGCTGAGGACATTTCAAATGTATAAGTACATTTTTGTGAATTTGTTGAATTCGTCTATATAACTGTAATTTTCTTATTATGCCTTTGTTCCCTTGTACGTCGGTTTTGGCTGTGAAGTTTTAAACTATTCTCTTGCTTGAAATCACACGAGTCATAAAATTATCACGCTCAGATCAAATACAGAGCATTCTTTGATCCGACAAACCCTGAAAAATGGTATATCGACCGGAAACTAGTATAACTCACAAAGATTGGTATAATCAAATAGAGATAGTATAGGAAATGTTTATGCTAGTTATCTCATCAACAAAATGTCTTGTAAAGAAATCAACTGAATAACTAAATTTTTTTGGCGAGAGAGTAGGATTTAAAAAAGTATATAAATAAGTGACGAGACAAAAATAATTTTAATAAATAAATAATTATTTTTTTCTGCTACTAGTACAAGTATAATACTGATTTATTTCTGATCGAAATCTGGTAAGTATAATTAATTTGGGCACTAACAAGAAAAAAACAGTTGTTCGTGTGGAAAAGAGAAAGACTACTGACCAATTGGACTTGTGATTCATACTAGTTTCCAACTAGTTGTAACTTGTTAACTAGTTGCAATCTCTATCGCTCTTGTACGTACTAAAATGTAGATATGTATGTCTTCTGCTGAAAAGCTATCATGCCTACAATTTGAAATGTTTTGGCAAACTAAGTTAAACCAACACTTAAAATGAGGCAAATAATGTTAACGAAAGTTGATGGAAAGAGAAATTAAAGAAGAAAAAGAACTGAAGTAGGTAGATACACGTGAATGTCCTCTTTTAAAACAGACACAACATTAACGCGTGTGTCGCTCAGCTAACCGACATGAATTGCTGCAGAGTAAACTCTGTCTGTTTGTATTTGGCTGAAAGCGGAAAGTGCAATGCGTTGTACGATAGGCTTGCGAATCAAGGCCGATAATCTGAAAATTATTGGCCTAACGTGTATCCTTGCATATGAGTGTGCGCTTTAACGTACGTGTTTCTTAAGTGTTCACAAGTGTTGTTGAGTACACAGCCTTAAATGCTTTGAAATCTAATTTTTTCCATATTTCACAATCTCAATGCAATCTTAAAAGGTTACATTTACTTGCTTCAATATTTACCAATTTCTGTTCTTTAATTCGCATTTTTGGGAGCAATTTGGATTCCTTGAGATCAAGCGGAGTACTAAATGCTTTTTCAGCAAGCTAAAAGTAAATATTTTGGCAGAAGATGGTACTTCTAGTTCGATGTGAAATACATATGCTATAAAAATTATGTTTCTACTATGCCACTTTTCTTATAAAATTTAAATATGTAAATAATTCTTAAAGAAAATTTAGTAAAATTAAAAAAAATATTTAACTGCCTTAGATGGCTTAAGATGTAAAAAAATCCTATTTCAAGAACAGAGGACGAGAAATTAGGTTGAATAGCAAATATGTAATCGGAAACTATTTTATAACACTATAGAACACTTGGCACTTTCGAATTATTGAGACTTAAGTAAATAATGTTTCTCCTGTTTTTCGAAATCAGTCTCCAAAATCGAAATATTTGCCTTCGAAATTGAACCCATCGAAAACAGCATTAATAGTTATAGTTTGCTAGTTACTCAAAAGTAGGCATCACGGAGAAAACGGATCTTCGAGAAAAATACTGGGTAAATTTTCGAAAATGTGTTGATGTCAGTCATGTCATGAAACTTTTCAAAAAAAAAAAATTTACTAGAAAATCTTATATTTTTAAGAACGTTATGTTAACTATTTATCTGGCATGGATTAAATAAAATTTTCAGTTTTTAATTCCGCTGATTAATTTTTTTTTAATGTCGTATGTGTAAATTATTATAAAAAAAATGGCATAAAATAATTAATTTTTTTATATAATTTTTTATTTGCAGGTTAAACAATATTTGCTCTTATTTTTTAAAGATTTGAAAAAAATTGGTAATATTGTACTTTCAAAAAGCTGTATTGATCTTAATTCCTGATTATATTCAATACCTTGAATACCAAACATGTTACAAAGGTCACATGGTTTCTATGTCTATACCAACTTTTAACCTAAGTATTTTATCGTTTCAAAGTAGTCGATTTTTCTGAATTGGTCCCTGAGTTAAAGAGTTTTAAGTGATACAAGTTTTGGTATATAAAATGGTGATTTCTAGAATTCAGGAACAATTGTTTTGATGAAGAAATGCTGGTGTTACCAGCTTCATTTTTATACGTTTAATCGGGGTTCTACGCCTTTTAAAACAACTATCCTGGATGGCTAAATTCCGGGAAAACTGTATGAACAGCGAAAACGGTGAGCTCAGTGGACGTTCTAAAAAGGCTGTAATGAACAAAGTCGTCAAAAAATAGAAAAAGTTAGGTCATCCAAGATATAAAATGAAGTATATTGAGAAAATTAACACTCTAAAGATATCTAAGAAACGTGTTAGACATATTGTTCATGAATTATCTTATAATTAATATTTAGGGTTGTTTTAGAATCCAATATATTATTTTTATAGGTATATCAGAATTGCAAACCAAATTTTAGTTTCATTGATGTTATAGTATCTGACTGAATTTTCGTTTTTATTAATGCAGTAAGTAAAACTAAAATTCGAAAGCTGTGCTACAATTTATTTATGGGACAACACAATCAAAATCAATATTTTTGATTTTATACATTTTTACATAAAAACGTTTTTTAAAATTCACAGAAAATTGGATTAGGATGAGCAGCTATTGCAGATTTTATTTCTTTGAAGAAAAAATATTACAGAAAAAGTGCTAAGGATTATTTTATGAAATCAAAGTAATCCGCATGGTGTCCAAGAGAGACCATAAGTACAATATTTTTTTATCTTTGTGGAAAACTGAACATTTTTACATGATTAAATCTGACTTCTAAATTGAATAATTATAAAGCTTTAATAACAAATATATTTTGTATGGGTTTTTAACAGCAAATCGAAATACTTAAATTGAAACAAAATATTTAAATTTTGTCAGTGCGGATTCTCTTGGTTTGCTTTAAATAACAAAACCGATGAAATTGGATTCACCGATGCCGAAAACCTACGGAAGTTATGATTCGAACCTCAAACTAAAAAATTGTACTTTTATATATTATATAGCAATAGACTTATTGCTCCGAAATGCAGCTTCTTTCAAAGAGGTGAGCATTCACTCCGGCAGTAGTACAGCGATACTAGTGTTGAGCTCGCAAATTGTGCGCTCAAAGTTAGGCAAATATAGTCTGAAATAGCATCAAGCTTCTTCATCATCAGACTCGTTTGAGTGCCCGGTCATAGCGAAAACGTTGAAAACTGCAAAGTCGATGTTCTAGCAAGAGTGGGCACCCGTACTCCGCAACCACACAACCAAATATTAGTCGCCTCAACAAATTAGTAATCGGCACAAAAGCGCTTTGTTGATTTATAATGGGCTTTATGATCAAATTTATAGGAGTTCTAGGTCCCATAGGGCATCGGCGTTATAAGCTGTCCAAGTGAGATCATTATTAAGATCGACCATTTAACCTAATATAACCTAATACCAGTATTTTTTTATTTTCGAACCAATTTCCCATTGATTAGAGGCGTTAATAAGCAAAACTGTATTATTCGGAGAATAGACAATGTATTCCAAATTTATACCGTCTACTGTTAAAATAGACTTAAAGTTATGAATTTTAATGTCTTCATAGTTACACTCCACTCTCCATTTTGTGTGCTCACTCCACTTTTAATGCACTTTAGGGAAAATGTGAGTCATGATTTTTTATAAGCCACAAAATAAGTTTCAATTACTTTCTCCTCAAACTATAAACGCATGTAAATTTTGCGCGAAATGCTATAGCGTATAATGGAACGTTTTAATTGTTGTATTTTTAATTGCCTCAAAAGGCA